ACAAGGGATTAGAACTTGCGTTCCAATTTTTAAATAAATCACGTCACTCTACAACCTACGGTTGCGTTACATATTGCGTTGTAATATCGATACGCGGGCTTTCCCGTTGCATGAGCTTTTAAAGCATCGCATGGCTTTTCATGCGCTACGGGCTTGTTTCGTTTAATCATTTTCCAAGAAGAGCCATTGCTAGACGGACAATACATCACTGTAACCAGATTTAAAACAGGACACGAGATTTCGTTGGCCGTGCGATACGTGAAACGCGAATGCGATACGAAAAATGTACAGAACGGTCGGGGAGGGAAAGACGAGGACGGTCGAAGGGAAGAGAAGTTACGTGCTACGCGTGCAAAGCGGGATCCCAAACGGGTAGGGTCCGAAAAACGATCGCTGTCACGGCAAAATCGAATCGGTCCTCTTAGCTGTCATGGATAGATCCAGGAAAACGGAAAGATGATCCTTAAAGAGACGAGAAATCGGAGAAATAATGTATCTCACAGCGACACATGTTGTCTCTTGCCGACTGATAAAACTATAATGGTGGACGAAGAGAACCATTGCGCATAGTCGTCTGTCTTTTTTAACAAGATTACGAATTCATAATTATCGAGACCTAAATTCCTTCTTCATTGGAATATGTCTGCGACTTTTCAAAGAAAATTCCAATGTTTAATTTTCAGAAAATTATATTACACAAGTCTCCGCAAATTTTATGACATGTAATTCGTATTTAATTTAAAATTACTTTCGAAATCAAGTTCGTCAAATTGTCAATCACGTATTTTTCATTATTAATAAAAAGTAAAATTGGATAAACAATTCAATAAGAATTCTCTAGATTCAATATTTTAAAAATTAAATCGCAAATGTCCTCCTCCAAAGTAAAATGTATATAAAATATCCATCTTATTTCAATTATACGTGAGATTGAAAATAAAATTGAAATGCCAAATACAAGTGATCGGTACAGTGAAAGAAAAAGAATCGGCCCTTGGTAGCATTGAGTTAAAATCAGTAATCAGATAAAATTAAAGCGTCTGTTATACAAATATTTAATGGGGAGGAGAGAGGAGAGCAAAGTCACCTCTTAGGATGACAACGAGCACTTTAAGGCCTCACAAGACATGGCCGACGTTATCCTCTGAAAGCTACGGTCCAATCTGAGCCTGCTCTGATATTTTACGATCAAAGAGCTGAGTAGAAGAAAAAAAGAAAGATTCGTGCCGCCATAAGGGTTCGTTCAAACGAGCTGGCAATTGCCATATTATATACTTTCCACTGCTCAAGATTACAAGGCACGCAAGCTTTAAGCTCGGTAATAATGTTGGGCGTTCTGGGTGGCCTCGCGGCACGTGGAACTTAAATACCGACTTAAGATCTCAAATTATAGGAATGTAGGCTCTTAAATTTTTGGGGACATGAAATCCTGTTGAATTTTACGGTCACTTTATTCCGGTGACTCCGGAGTTTGTAATCACGGGACGGAAGTCGCAGAAGACATCCATTACTCGCTCAGTTATTTCCCTCTTCTGCTTCATATTCACGAATACAAGTGCAAACTGCATCCTGAATTAGTTAGATGCACCGAGTATAAATATTCGAGCACCGTTCAAGAAGTTAAGAAGGGAAATTAAATAATATTTTTGTCTACAAGAATATTAATTAAATTAATTGTACAAAATTTCGCAACTTTTCTTAAAATTATGTACCAACACTCGTCCGTTTGATTAAAATTTAATTAACTAGTGAGGTAATCACTCCATTAAAAAAGCAAAGTTTTTCTATTTTGTTAATCAATAAAATTCAAAGAAACTTCACGTAGCACAACAATGATAAATGAATTTTCCTGTCTCGCCGTTTACAATTTATTGCTCATTGCTAATCGCTTACCGATGTGCATGCGACTTTACTCAGAACAAGTCGCCGAGGGAAAAAAAACGCCCCTCGAGTGCTTTCACGTGAGACAACGAGATTGCCGGAATGCGTGCGTATTTACGCGACAGGGGTCGTAGGTGCCAGTAGAGTGGAGATGGCGGGGGTGGAGATTAACGACTGCCGAGGAATAATTGCCGGAACACGCAAAACGCCGAGCCACTCGAGCTGATCTTCAGAGAAGAGAAAGGCGAAGGAGGAATAGTGCGGGAGAAGGCGAGAGAGAGTCAAGAGGGAACGAACGAGAAGGTATGTGCAACGCGTGTCTGTGCACGTCTGTGTGTGTCGGAAGGGCGTAAGAGGGAAGAAGGATGGGTCGTTACGCCGTGGAAAAGCGGTGACAACGCCTCGGCTTTGAATCCGCCTTCCTTCCGTCGGGAAGGAAGGATAAGGACGGGGGAGGGGGTGGAGATACCCGGGAGTGAAAGAGGAGGAAGCAGCTCGGATCTGTCCGTCTGCCCCGTTCGCCGAGTACGCCACGCGGGAAGCTCTGCAAAATTTAAGGAGTCCATGGCAAACAGGGCGTACAGTGCCGCGCACGGAGGGTGGAAATGAAAACTGAGCGCGAGGATTTTTCTTCGCGCGCACTTCTGGTAATAAATATGAAGAAGGAGATGTTGTTGAGGAAGATATTATGTTGCATCGCGATCGTGCCGCTCGTGCGTGCACAACGGTACGTGGCGTCTCAACGTTAGCTATTTATTTATGCCCTTGTGACGGCAGAGCGAAGGAACAAAAAGAAATGTTTATTGCACTCTCACGTGACCTTTTGTATTCGCCTGTATTTGAGCGCGAATGGCGCGCTATGAACAATATTTTAACAACGCTTCGTGAGGACGCTCGACTTAAAATCCACGAGCCATCGAATTTTTCCAACCCGCGGCGTCGACGCTCGAGTCTCGCGTTATCGCAAAGTTTTAACGAGATTGCCATTTACGAAATTACCGCGCGATGATCGGGAAACTCGGAGAACTAAAAAGTAACCGATTAATCCGGGGCGATATTAATGCGATATAAACCGAAGCTCTCTCGCCATTTGTAGATTTCGCTGAGTGTAAATGATATTACCTGCGCATAACACATACGGAAACCACTTCCACAGAGACGTTTCTCTACCTTCGCACTCACAACTTGCTCCTCCTCTCACGCGCGTGACTATCCAGATCCGATTAAACGCGTATATACACAGGAAGAAGAGAGGGATGGCACAGATAGTTAGATAGGGTACAAATACGTGTAAACATTCGGTGGCTAAATGCGATGGATAGAGAAAGAGACAAATTCGCTTACAATTAGATACAACACGAACGTGAGGGTATACCACTTGCCATATGCAAGGCACCATGCGAGTGACACACACAAGCCGCGGGCGTCTATTCTCTGCTGCCTACAGGAAGAAAAAAATCGCGCGTCGCGCGCACATAAGTGCATAATACTATGTGCACGTTCCTCTCGTATTAATACACACGCGTGTGCCGCACGCACACGAATTAGCGTCGCCGCGGCTGCGGGCAGTGCGAGCGGCCAGGGAATAGCAAGGGGTCCTCCCGAGCGGTAAATCAGGGATTTCGGGGTTGGTACGTGCAGTGCTCCGTCGAAACGATCGCTCGATACTCGCTCATCCGTGCCACAACCCCCGTCCTTTTCCCTTCGTTGCGCCAATCTCTCGTTTTTTTCCTTCCCTCCCTCACGTACGCGCGCGTTCCTCGTTACTACCCGTTGTTCATGCAAGATCGGCGGATGCGTCTCGGGATTTTCTGCCGAAACTGACATCCGTGTAATTCCGCGTGACGTGCCGCCGGGCGTAGATCGCTTCGATTCGGCTCGATCGATTGATCGGAATCGGAAGGAAATGCGATACCCCGAGGGATGGGCTCGAATTCGGGAACGACGAGCGCGGCACGAATTCCAATGACCTATTAATACCAATTAAATACTAGACCCGAGGAGTTTTCAGCTGGAAATCGATGGTATCGGCATTTTCCGCAAATTCGCTGACACACTTGTAAACAAAACGTGCACATCGGCGCGTGTTTAACGGATAAATATATTAAAATCATTGGAGCGGTGTTATAGCGTTTTGCAAACAAGTCTACCCGTCCGGCGTATTTGACGCCGTAAATACAGATGAGTCTAATGAATATACCGCACGATAACGGTGCTGATTGTGAGATAAAACTTTCACATAGCCACCGCGGTAGATTAAAGCGCGAGATAATTAATTAAATATACGGCGCAGACACGATTCATCAAATGAAGAAGACGATGGTTTCTACAAGTCGCGCTTTTTCGTCCAAGTCATTTTCATAAATAGCAGCGCGAGAGAGAAAAGCGGATTGAACTATCGTGGCATACTAACAGTTCCCTGATACGAAAACAAGAAGCCAGACAGTTTTCTCGAGAAAGTACCGTAAAATATAAAATTCGATTTCGCAGGTTAACTCGCCGAAGATGATGGTGAAGTTCAACGGAAACGACGGTGACCGATAAATAAACTCACTTTTCGTGAAACGTTACGAAAACTTTCATGTTAACACTTGTTTTCACACACTTCCCTGATAGACCTTAAGCCTTCGTAAGCATACTGGATTTTTTTTACTCAGGCGAAATTTCACTCTCAAATTTCTTGGCACAAATTTTTCAATTTTTATTAAATAAAAGTCGTAATATATTTAATTAAATAATTATTTGGCATAATGTAACAAAGATGTTGAAAAATAATCCTGAATTTTATTAGATTTTTTCAAAGCCTAGCACATAATAAAAAAATTTGAATTGCACCAAAAAAAGAGTACCTATGGAGTAAGTAAAAATATATGTGCTTACGAAGAGTTGAGAGGATTCTAAAGTATTGTTTTACAGATTATGTTTCAAACAAGTACTTTTCTAATTGTGAATCTTACTGAGTCTTACTAATTTTAGGATACCTACCTACCTACCTACCCTTAAAGTAATCATATTCATATATTATATTGTTTGTAAAAGAAACATACATATTATTATATAGTTACATTTCTCTACAAATCTACGGTACTTTAAAATGGATATACCGGTTGATGTTATAGGACCTGTCAAGTTTACACGGATTATCAGCTTCCGACTGGTAACGACGGATTTATGCGAATAATACTCTCACAAACGCGGCAAGGTGAGTAAGCAAGCAGTTTGAATAAAGCGGCGACGATAGAGAACATTGGGGGCGGCTTTTAGTGTTTGCGTATGCGATATCCCTCGCTGTGCGTGTGTGTGTGTGTGTGTGTACGCAGGTGAATCTATGTGCTTGTATGTATGTTGTGCGCGAGGACAGGCACGCGCACTCTTACTCTGTGAGGAAAAGCACGCTCAAGTGTTCACATCTAGACGGCACAAAAATCCAATATTAAGAGCCATCACGCCGCGGCCGGTGGTAAAGAATCGGAAGTTACCATGAATGTACGTCGAGAGGAATTATACGCCTTGCTTTAAAGGCACTTTGCGATTTTCCCGAGAAAAAAAGGCCACTTCGAATGTGGTTCTTCTATCTGTTGTCTCTATCTGTCTATTCGGTCCCGCGAGTTTTACCGTGATATTCTCGGAGACTTTCAAAGAAATTGGGGCATCGGATATCGCGGGCGGAATTTATGCGCTTCTGGCCGCGAAGCGCGCGACGTTAATCCCATTAATCCCGCTACATTCAATTAATATCTCGTTTGCATCGGCAATATCTGTTTAAGTAATTAAATGATTATCCGTTAAATATACAGCTGAAGAAACCTCACTCGTAATAATTCTATTGGGATTATTCACACCCGTATCAAGCGACGATATCGATGCGCGTTCAATTAATATTTGTCTCGTGATGGAATTATCGGTACGTTTGTATGAGAAAATTAGCATTTATTGAAAATGTATTGTAATAAAATTTTAATATATATATATATATTTAAATAAATAAATAAATTATACATATCGTATATATCAATTAGCTACTCTAACAATATAAAAAACATTCATTCACTTTAAGATGAAAGTTGTACAAAATAACAATATATTAAATATTCAAATCAAAATGACAAATTATTATAATAATTGGTTACGTATATTCACATAAAATACATATAAATATAATTTGTTGGATATTCAATTGATAAATCTGTCTCATATTCTGCACAATCGATCGTAACAGATTTAGTGAAAGGGATATGTAATGCCTCAAGGCATATATAACAACATTTAGAATATATATTCAAATGGAATTATGTCAAAATAACCTCTGCTACTAAATTAGATTATGTGTTTGAAACCAATTTTATATGTCACATCTATGTGATTTCAAATTATAATCAAATAACTAAGCACAATTAAACTAAGCTGACAAAATTAAAAATATTTGAATGGTGTACACATAACGAATGCGACTATTAAACGTAATTAGATTGAATTACTCCAAACAAGTTGTTTACTCGTATTATATTTTTGACTATTTGTCAAACTCTCTGTCTTATTAGGATTTATGTGCATCGCTTATTATAGAAAGATATTTAAATTTGATAACGAGCTTTTCCGCCGAATATCTCGTTTCACATTAATAATTCGAGAGCGTACACACGATTCGTGAGAATAAGACTTGCGTGTATCTTAACAAACTTCTCGCGCACAACACACATAATCTATGCGCATAAGCCCGCAATTATGAACACTTATCGATTATTACTAGAACTTTCTGTGTACGTTCGCGGCATGCAGAGTACACCTGCATATAAAACAGCTGATTAATCCAGGGCTCGCTTTTCTAACGAGTTACTCAATCTCGTCTGAGTAAAGTTTGATAAATTCCGTATATACATTTGTCGACCTCGACGCAACTTTAGTGTTCACAACGCCAGTCAACCGTGCTGCAAAGCTTATAATTAACAAGGGCCACGAGCAGCATTATGCTTGATTAACAAAGAGTGGCAGAAATGTCATTCGCTTGGACTTTCTTTATGCTCACCTAGCCGCGGGTAAGAAAGTAATATAAAATCAGCAAGAAATCTGTATAACGCTACTGCATAAGATCTTTTAATTTTATTATGCCTCAGGCATATACCTTTTTACCTGACCAGAAAATTCGAAACCGTCGCTTAATACATCTCGACATTCCGACATTTGTCTCATGTCATATGTCATCAATTAATCAAAAAACGAGATGAATCGTAAAAATTATTATACACACGGAGAGAACGATTTTGCTGAAATATTCAAAAATTTAGCCAGATATAGATTTGAAAATAATTTTGTCAAACCATCAAAAAATGTTCATTCTCGCTATCAGTTTGAGTTTCCTACCTAAATATTTTGATGGTCTAACAAAATTATTTTCAGATCTATATCTGGCTAAATTTTTGAATCTATATATAGCTAAATTCTTTTTTTATATTTCAGCAAAATCGTTCTATCTGTGTAAATATTAAGCACGGTAATGTACGAATGTAGAACAATCCAAATAATGTAGAACATTTTGAACAAATGGTTTAGTGTGATCTGAAACATTTGGGATTTTTGATCTGATTTTTTCAATACATTAATTGTAATACTACTCGTGCCTGACTCATTGCTCTGTTATTTAAATTTTTTAAATTTAAATAGGATATTTAAACTATTATATAATACGCCCAAAAGGGAGCAGTATTATAAAAATAAAAAACGAAGGGTGATATAAGACGATCGTTTGCATACCGGCCCTGGCCTTTTTTCTAAATCGCATTGAAATGCCGCTCGATAGTACTTAATCTGCGATTAAGCCTCAGTTCAGGCATCATTAAGCCGGAACCAAAGGACATCGAAAACCATCGTGGAGACGACTGCGAGATAGACGTACGATCGATTCTTCTCCGTGTAAGCCGCGCCTTGACTCCTCGATCGTCCGTCGATCCCGTACGTCTCTATTCTACTAGTCCGATCGAATGCTGGGTTTACCACTGTCGACTGATAGGCGCCGTCGCTATACGCGCGTATCCCGCAGCTCTAACCCTGAAATGTATTGATCCCGGAGCGTTAAACTGGACAGCATTGTTATGAATTCAGCGCAAATGGAATTTAACTTGTTCCAATATGATTTGTTAATTTATTATTAAAACAGTTTGACGTCGGGACTTTTATTTTCCATTAATTAGTCTCTAGCCGTCACAATGCGAAGTCAATATAGGAAAAATTATTTTGCTGAAAGATTTAAATTTTTACTAGATACAGATTTGAAAATAATTGTATTGGGAACTAAAAAAATGATGAGCAACATTGCATAATTATTTTAGTGTCTAACAACATTATTTTTAAATCTGTAGCAGAATTTCTAGCAAAATCGTTCGTTCCGTTTAAATGTAACTTATTAATATCGTTTAGAGCTCTCTTCCTAACTACTACCATTATTTGTTAAGGATATAATTGCTTTTACACGTAATATATTCTTGTCATTTACCACTCTCGGCGATGTTATCCTTGACAAGTTCTAGGATAATATGGAACATACGTTCGTTTTACGATACGCTGCATGCACTTAAGCCACGACACCAGGAAAACGTGTTTCAAGGTTTGCTGCAGGCAACACATTTTCATTCTTGTTACATTCCCGTCTCTTGCGCGCGTCCCATGTGTTCGCACATGGAAAGAGCACGTTTGTCGATTTAGAGGCCGTGAATCTTTAAAGTCGACGACGAGGAGAGATGCGCGCAACGGACAGACTTGCAACCGAATGCTTTCACGGTGGGATACCGTTAGATCCCACCACGCATTCGGTAGTCGTTTCGCACAATGAAATCTCTAGGAATGAAACACCGTCGGGGTATCATATTCCGCATGGTCGGCCGCTCATTTCAAGCTGGTTTATGAGCTCGGCGGCGCATTAATTCGGTCGAATGATGGTTTCGGCCCGTCGTTTCGTAACCGAATGCAGGTATCTAAAGCGCTATTCATGTTCTACAGTTTTGTTTGATACTATGCTAGAATTTCCCTTCTCCGTGCTTTCATTAGCTTGCACGTATCGACTTCTATGTCGTTAGTTGAAATATCATTTACGTATAATGTACGTAGAACTAATGTACATAGAACGTTCCACAATTCGTGATTTTAATTTTAATGATTTTCTCTCGAATTCAACAGATTTTTTTTTGTCAAGAGTGAACTCGTCACTCTCTGCAAATTTTCAACTTTTAACAATTTAGATAAACAGATTCCGAATCTAAATGAGCAGTCGCGTACAATTGCGTACAACCAGATTAAGTAATCGCACAGAAAGTAATCGCACAGCAATAATAATTAATCAGCTCTACCATCCACTTCCGATGTGCGTTGGTCCATCGTTCCGTTCATGGCGAGTTTGCGCATGGCCGCGGGTGATGAAAAGTATTCGACGGCGATCGATGTAGCCGGGAAAATCACGATGAATTCTCAGTTCTCAGTTCGTAGCTTAGTGCGACAGCTCTTGTTGCGACGGCAATTAGGAAATGAAAGTCAAACGGCTGAAAAATCGCTCGCTCGCGATCGAGTCGTTCCGTACCAGCACAAAGTGGATCCTCGAGAGTGACCATTTAGGGGGTAGCAGTTGGTAGAACGAGGTAGTAGAAGAGGGGGTGAGAGACAGGCCGCGGATATCGAACGAGAGAAGAGACAAAAAGAGAGGTTGAGAAAGGAAAAGGGTAATAGCGACGAGCGGAGCGGCGAACGGACAGTTAAAGTGGGGAAAAGGGAAATAGAGGAAGATGGGTAGGACGGACTGTGAGAACTTTTTTGAAAGTTCAAGCCGGCCGGAGTTATCGATAATCGATCATGCGAACTACTACTCCCGGACTCGTTTCGTGGTTGAGCGACGTCGTGCGTCTACGGCGATTTTAAATTCGCAAAGGAGAATAAGGCGCGCGGAACGACCCGCTCGACCGTGAACGTGCAAATTTGAGTCTCCACGGTCGACTCCCTGCGGAAACTGTATCTATCTATATGGTACAGTCGATTGGTCTGGTGAATAGGAAACTGGGTTATGCAATGATTCGATAAATAATCGTGTCGGATTTATAGATTCATAAAGATATGAAATTAAAATTCTGCAGATACTACAACTCGATGCGAGTAGATATCAAAAATTCATAAAAATTAAGAATACAAAAGTATTCACAAGTGTTCATTAAA